CTTGGTGCTTCGGGGGCCACAGTGGGAGGGCTTCTGGAGTTCTGGCCCCGCTGGTGGACCTCCTGAAGACACCTGGGTTTTGGCCACTGTCTGACACAAGAGTGTTGGACTGGATGGGCCACTGGCCTGATCCAGCATGGCTTCTCTTTAGTTAATAAAGTTTAATAAACTCAGTGCCAGAGAGACAGCTGTGCAGAAGGAAGTTCTAAACTTGAGGGGCCACAACAGAGAAGGCCATGCTTCTAGCGGTCATGGGCTTTCCTCCTAAAGGGAGAATACAAAGATCAGAGCCCTGACCTGGATGGCCCAGGCTATCTAGACCTCTTCAGATCTCCAAAGCTAAGCAGGGTGGGCTCTGGTTAGTCCTTGGATGGGAGACCACCAAAGAAATACAGGGTCGCTGTGCAGAGGCAGGCCGCTGTGCAGAGGCAGGAACCTCTGTTCCTCTCTTTCCTTGAAAATTTATAGGCAGGATTAAATGGGAAGCGGGTGATACATCTATAACCTTGTTCCCAGTCCATCAAGGATTATAGTGTTAAAATATTTCGAACTATGCCTAAGAGCAAAGAAGCAAGAGCTGCAGTTCTTTTAAAACTGGTGACTTACAATCTCTATAGCCTAGCACTGAACATCAGAAGAGCCCTGCTGGATCAGACCAATAGTCCAGCATCCTGTCTCACACAGTGGCTCAACCAGTTCAGTTTTTACTTACAAAAATAGAAGCACATCTTAGAGGACATATTCATCTAGTTACATTTAACTTATTGTGAACAGATTAATTGGAACACAGTTAACTTGCTATAAGAGACGGGCATGAACCGGCTGACAAACTAAAGACTGTTGCGAATTTTGGCCAGTTTATGGTTTGCAAAGTGATGTTCACAAATCAAAGAACCGCCACAAACGTTCATGAATTTTTGATGCAGTCCGTGCTGGTTTGTAAAGACGAAAAACAGCCATTTAAATCTGTGCTTTCTGCTTCCCGCAAAAAGCCATGGGGAGCAGAAAGCAGGGGTTTAAATGGCTCCCAGCCATTTCACCCCCTGCTTTCTGCTCACCAGCAAGCAAATAAGTGTTACAATATCCAATATTTACAGCATGATCTTTTTCACCTAAACCAAAGGCGACCATTCCCCCCCCCTTCTCCTTGTATAAAAATATTGTCTGCCATTTTGTGATAAGTGAGGATCAATCCAAAAGGCAGAGGGTGGGGCATGCTACAGGAATAACCCCACAAAGTTGTACACAGTTAATGAACCCTCCATTTTTTAAGGTGCGGATGCTAGGGGGCTGCATTAGCCCTACAACCCCCCCCCCCCCCTATTGAAGTTTGGTTCTTCAATCAGTTTTTAGCGCAAAGATATTTGTATCAGAAATACAGAGCTATTTGGTGTTCGTCCACTGCTACAGGGAGGGGATAACATCTGAACGGACTTGGCCGTTCCTCACTCAGCTCCTTTGGCAGGGCAAGCCAAAAGGCCCTCCAGCCAAGGGCAAACAGTCACTCTCAAGCCGAGGCACAGAAAGGGTGTGTGTGTGTGTGTGTGTTTGAAACTTCGGCAGGGGTGGACTGACTGTTGGATTTATGGGGAGATTTCCTGGTGGGCTGCCAGTGGCCAGAGCAAACAGAGCCAAGCCCCGACCACTCTGCCCAAGATTCGGGGGCCGGACCCCCTCAGACATGGCACCCGGTGTGCCAGCTCACCATCTCCTCCTGCACTGCTTACAGTTTGGAGGATCGGACTGCCGACTCCAGGCTGGGACGTTCCTGGAAATTTGGGGCCTGGGGAGGGCAGGGTCTGGGGGGGGGGACCTCAGGAAGAGTCCACCCGCCAAAGCAGCCGTTTCCTCCAGGGGATCCGATCTCTGGAGATCTCAGGCCCATGGCTACGGGGGGGGGGCATCTCGGGGCCCAACCCTCCAACTTCCTACCAAGGTCCCCCGACTTCCTGCCAAGGCCCTCCGACTTCCAGTTTTTTATTTTATTTGTGATGCTCCTTGGGGTGTGTGTGTCTGTGCGGGGTGCCCCCCGACTTATTTAAAGGCCCCCTGAATTTAAAAAATCCTGGCTACAGGCCTGGGAGATCCGTTGTAATAACGGAGGTCTCTGGACTGCGTTTGGGAGTTGACATCCCTATTAGGGGATGATGCACTGGGTGAACTGATGCCCACTGTCGGCCCCACTCAGTGACTGGCCCGGCGGTGCCGGCTTGTAGCGTAAGAGGAGCCACTCAGCTCGACCCGCTGCCATTTTCACGTCCCGGTCCACCGCCCGCTTTTCGGCCTCATCTTTTCAGAAGCGCCCATGGAAACTGCTGTTTATCTTTCACACGATGCCTCCGAGGGCCTTTCTAAATTGGCCAGCCTGTGTGACAGGTCAGGTTGTACAACCAAGGAAAGGGTGAGAGGCTCACTGGGCACCAAGGGCAGCTTTGGAAATTCACGGAAGGCTGAAAGGCCGAAGGCAGCCTCCCTGCTATGACAAAACACACCGTAGTAGGGAGAGGCTGAGTTAAGAGGAAAACGGGCTAGATCTCGGCAGACGTGCATGGGGAATTGTGCTATTTACAAAAACTGAGTACCGCTAAAAGGAGAGATGACTAATCAATACTGATAGGCGTATATGGAGATTAAAAGGGCCGGCACAGGTTGTCCAAGGTGGTCACCACACCTTAAAAAGGATATTATAGCTTTGGAAAAAGTGCAGAAAAGGGCAACTCGAATGATAAAAGGGTTGGAACACTTTCCCTATGAGGAAAGGTTAAGGCGCTTAGGGCTCTTTAGCTTGGAGAAACGACGACTGAGGGGTGACATGATCGAGGTTTATAAGATTATGCATGGGAAAGAGCAGGTAGAGAAAGAGGTACTCTCACAATACAAGAACTCGTGGGCACTCAATGAAATTGCTGAGCGGTCGGATTAGAACGGATAAGAGGAAGTACTTCTTCACCCAAAGAGTGATTAACACTTGGAATTCACTGCCACAGGAAGTGGTGGCGGCTACAAGCATGGACGGCTTCAAAGTGGAATTAGATAAGCATATGGAGCAGAGGTCCATCAGTGGCTATTAGCTACAAGGTATAGATAGGGGCTCTGGGGCAAGTGATACTCTGTCATCTTGGTGCTTGGGGGGGGGGTCAACAGTGGGAGGGCTTCTAATGTCCCGGCCCCACTGGTGGACCTCCTGATGGCACTGGTATTTCTGGCCACTGTGTGACACAGAGTGTTGGACTGGATGGGCCTTTGGCCTGATCCAACATTGGCATCTCTTATGTTCTTATGTCCAGTGTTGGAGGAGTGGGTGTGTTGATGGTCTCATCAGAGCTTTGAAGCTAAGCAGGATCGACCCTGGTTAGTTCTTGGAGGGGTGACCACCAAGGAAGTCCAGGGTCGCTACGCAGAGGCAGGCAATGGCAAAACGCCTCTGCTTGTCTCTTGCCCTCAGGGCTGCAATGAGGCAGCTGAGACCCGACAGCAAAAAACGACGACTACATTGTCTTAGCGTTCAAGAAGGCGGGTGGGGAAGAGACCGGCTCTTCAGTACCTCCGTTTCTCTAATCCAGGGCTGCGGGCACCTTCGGCAGTCTGACACAGGGTGGCAGGTGCGGCCACAAAATGGCCGCCGCAGGAGGTGGAGCCAATCACAAAATGGCTGCCGTAGCTTACCTTCAGTCACACAGTGAAGCGCCTTGTGGTGTTGTGGTGGCAGCTGCCACCAAAACAACATTTTAAAAAATCTGCACCAGCCTCTCAGGTTTCCAATGGCCAATCAGAAGGCGTGCTGGGCAAAAGCCCCACCTGGTCCCGCCCACCTTCTAAAACACTTGGCGGGCGCCGGGAAAGGTATCGGTGGCTGTCATGGCGCCCGTGGGCACCACGTTGGAAACCCAACTCTACTCCGTTAACAGCATTTGCTATTCCATTTCTCAACCCCAGTGCAGCCGTGACCAAGAGGACCTTGTGGTGGCAAGTGAGCCACATTCAACATGGCTTCTTCCTGGCTCTCTGTCAGACAAGGAGTGTTAACTGCAGAAAAAGTCTAAACACGTGTTACCGCATTATGTGTGATCTTTTTCTCCAATGCTGGAAGAAATCTGGATTGTAAAATGTTTGGAAACAGGGATCAGCTCCCCCTCGCCCCGATTATAGTATTCCACAAAACACCATCCTTCATCAGTGGCATAATACCTATGGCCATTCTTCTCCAAAATAAATCTGGGAGAAGGGCAGACATGGAATTCCCTGCCACAGGAGGTGGCGATGGCGGCTACAAGCATGGACGGCTTCAAGAGGGAATTGGATAAGCATATGGAGCAGAGGTCCCTCAGTGGCTATTAGCCACAAGGTACAGATAGGAACTCTCAGTCTGAGGCAAGTGATGCTCTGTATTCTTGGTGCTTGGGGGGGGGGACAACAGTGGGAGGGCTTCTAGTGTCCTGGCCCCACTGCTGGACCTCCTGATGGCACCTGGACTTTTTGGCCACTGTGTGACACAGAGTGCTGGACTGGATGGGCCACTGGCCTGATACAACATTGGCTTCTCTTACGTTAACTGGTGACACCACTATCATCTAATATCCAACAGAAACACAGGTTCGTAGAGTAATCTCTTATCTTTTTCCCTCTTAAAAGAACCAGACACTGCTCCAAAAAACCCCCCAAAGCATCTGAAGAAGCAGGTTTATTTATTACTCAGGTTCCCGCACAGGAACCGCACAGGAATCTGCTCCTTTCCAGTTGAGAACCCCGGTTTGTCAAAAGGAAACAAACTCCAGTTGGCCTACATGCCCACATTCAGATGGCACAGAATACTGGGAGTTTCTCGCACGGCTTCCCAAACGAGCAACCTTTCAGTGCACGGGGAGAAGGGAAGGAGAGAGCATGCCGATATGGCGAACATGCCTTGTCTGTGCACGTCATGAACAAACACAGGTTTGTCGTGATGCATGAATGCAGCCACAGTCTCTTTTTGGATTAACACGAGACGGAGTTTCACTCACCCCTTTTCTGCATGAAAACGAAGAGGTCGTCCAAGAACTTCTTCCGCTCGGGGTCGCCGTCCAGTTCGTACAACTAAGGAATAGAGTGACCAAAATTTAAATCTGGCAGGGCTGGGTGGGAAAGACGGAGCGAGGAGCGGCAGGCGATAGGCTCCATCTGGCGAGCTGGCCCATAGCTATGGAGGGGCATTTGGGGGCTCTGCCCCCTTAAATGTGAGGCACGCCCCACAACAGCTGCTGCCCCTCTGTCCCCTACTCACCCTCCCTCCCATCCGGTGACATTACAAGGGCCCTCCAGCTGATCGGTGGGAGCACATGGCCGGCTGTTCAGCTGAAAGGCCCTTTCAATCTTGCAGGAGATGAGGGAGAGGGGTGGCTGCCAAATACACACCTTCCCTGAACTCCAAGCAGCGATTTTGCCTGCTTGGAGATCAGACACGAGCAGCCCCCGGTAGAAAAACAGCATTTAAAGGGTTCCCTACGAATGCTGTTTTTCTAGTGGGGGCTGCCCAAGCCTGATCTCCAAGAGGTGAAATCGCCACTTGGAGTTCAAGAAAGGTGTCCAGCCGTCCCTCCCCCTCCCTCGTCCCCTGCTGCCCCACAAAATTTCCCCACGCCCCACCAACCCAAAATTTCTGGCTTACGGGGCTGCACAAAATATATATGTTTGGTGGATTGCAACCTGTCTTCCAACAACTGTGCTTTAGGAAGACCCCAACAACAACAGCCACCGTGCCAATGGTAAGCCCTGTCCAGCCACACATGGCTTAGGGCAACCCAAAGCAAGGAATGTTCTGCAGCCTTCCTTGGTAGTCTCTCTTCCAAGTCGGAGCCCTGCTTGGCTGCCAAGATCTGGCGATACAAGCCACTGCCCACCCCCCACCCCCAGCTCTACAGGAGGCCAAAATCCAACAGGTGGATTTTTTGTTACCCCAGCCACAGAAGGCAAGCCCCCCCCACCACCTTCTTGCTCGCCCAGAGCTATTCCAAAGTTAAGCCAGGTTTGTCTGCGACAGAGAGGTTTCCCCCTGGCGCCGGCCTCCTTACCTGTTCTCTCCTGGACGCGGCAGATGATCTCCCACCGGGGCGCCGTCTCCCGGTCCAGGCCGCGGGCCAAAGTAACCTCGCCGGTGTCTCCGTCCAGCCGCACGGGGGCCTCGTCGGGAGGGGGCGAGACCAACTCGAAGCGCGCCGAGGGGAAGCGCGCGGCGGGCCCCAGGGTGGCCAGGAGGGTCCCCGGCCGGGCGTCCTCGGGGGCGGCGAGGGCCAGGGGCGGCTCGGGCTGGAGCAAAGCCGGG